GTGCATAGAGGATATGTAGAGAGAGAAAGAGAGGGTGTAGGAAGAGAATGCTTAGAGAGAATGAAGGAAATGAGTACTTTCTCCCCCTTTTTATAGGGGGAGTGTACCTTATAGTCCAAGTTGGGTCTGGTCTAGGTTGGGCTCGGCCCATATTATCATATCAAGTGTCTTAGCCCATGTATAGGTGTATTCTTCAATATATATCCATAAAAACCGGTCGGGTACGACATGTTATATCAGATACTACCGGTCGAGCCGACAGTACTAGCCGTGGCTATATCAATATTATTTTTACTATTATAATTGATTATGAAAATATCAACTAATTATTAACTTATTTTGTACATAAAGTAATCATGTGAGTGGAGGTAGACATGGACTCAAGACAGACTCACCATATATGGAAGACAAGGTGACTTGCCATGCATGGCGGAGAATGAGGCATATACGCCAATTGAGAAGAATTTATCATATATGGGGGAGCAAGCTACGCAAGATAATGTGAAGAACCTAGATGAAATAGTGCGCGCGATTATTTATGAGAAGCAGTTGCAGAATGAACTTACCATATGGATTGAAGTATTGCACACACTTAGTCAAAAAATAAGGTTTTTTGGATATGTTTTTAAGATAGGATGGGGGAGTGATTTGTGGATGAGTACTCTATGCTTAATTTATTACTAGTGTGTACCCCGTGCGATGCACGGTAACAATATTACATTAACAATATTCTAAATATACCTCGAGTTTGAGTCATGAAACAACTATTGATCCTATTTAAAAAGAGAAAGAAAAAAATAATAATTATATATTAAAGTGTCGGGGTCAGACAATGTAAAATAATTTTGTATAAGAGAATATAAATTTTATATTATTTTGTATAATAAAATATAAAATTTGTATGTTTAATATTAAAAACACTTAAAATATTATATTAGTATATGTAAAAGTATTCAAATTTTCTATATTATTTTTAAAAGATATAAAGTCACCTACAACTTTTCTAAACAATTTTAGAAAGAAAACATATTTAAAAACATTTGAATTTAACATTATGTAAAAAAAAATTTCTAGACTATTTTGTAAAAAAAGCATGTTTACAAATAATTAAATTTAACATCAATTATGTATATGTGTATATGTGTTATATAGACGAATAAGTAAAAAAAAAAAACAAATGTCTAAACAATTTGTTTAAAATAACTAAATATTATAAGGCTAATTTAATAAACACCTTCGGTCAAAAAACAGGAAAAAAAAATCAAATATCTACACATTAAATCATATATAATGTTTCAAAATTTCTGCCTAAAAAGAGTTTAAATGAAAAGGAAAACAAATCTAACACAATATCTATTATTTTGTTAACCTAAAAAATAGGAAAAAGGGAAACATCACAAAAACCACCGCATGTATTATTTTGTTAACCTAAAAAAATAGGAAACAGAAAAACATCACAAAAATCAGTGCGCGATTTTTTTTGTTAACACTATATCAATGTTTATTTAATGATTGTAGAGGGAAAATAATGATTTTAGCGGGTATTTAATGATTTTAGAGGGAAAATAATGATTTTGGCGGGTATTTAATGATTTTGGAGGGAAAATAATGATTTTGGCGGGAAATCATAAAAAGGTTATTCTTTTAATATAATGATAGATTTTTTAATGAGAGTTTGAGTTAAGGTTGTTTTCTGATTTGATATATACACTTTGATCTATTCTCTAAAGTGCTTGGGATGAGCATCTTTCAATTGCACAGATGGATCCGTGTTGAGTAAAAATATAACACTAATGGTTCTACGGATCACAATTTGGACGCATTTTTAATAAAAAAAAATAAACATAATACTCCTACGACTCAATTCACTCGCATAATGACTCGCATTTTCCAAATCAAACTCGTCGTTCGAACAGTCCTTTATGCATGTCTTGAATGTCCCGTATCAATAAACACTACCTAAATGATTATAAGGCAACTTGAAACATTACGTATCAGTATAAATACTACATGAATTAAGTCACAAAAAATAAAAATAAAAATAAAAAATATCCACATCCTACCACTATGTAAAAAAAAAAAAAAAAAAAATGTATTTTTTAGGGTTAAGATCCTCTACCTCCGCATTCTGATTGCAGCTTCATGTATTAATTTCATAGTTCTCGTCTTTGATCAGTGTATGCTGAATCAGTTAATAAAAGTCGTCGTCCTTATAATTTTTTATTAGGTTCCTCTGGTTGTTGTTCTCGGCCCTACCCACGATCCTCTGCCTCATTGCTTTGGGGATTCCAGATGTTGAAAACCTCTTTCACGTGGTTCTGGCAGTGTTCTCAAGAGGACAACCTATCTAGGGCTTGCATGAAAAGTTGTTAATTGAGGAGGAATGAAAAAATTTTAAAACATGTGCAAGTGGGTGATAAAATTTGACAGACCCGTGATGATCGAACTGTTCCCACAATTCATTGCACATTCTTCGCATGTATGTCACATAGATTTTCGTATAAATTTACGCACTTCTTCAATTGACTTCGGTTATCGATCGCATAGTTTATCGTATAACCAGATCGCACTTGCTCCATTATCTTCGGATTTATGTCGCTTACTTTATCATGTAATTATTTCTCACTTGCTCAATGAACTTCGCCTCTGTAACATAGTAGTTTATCGCATAGTGAGATCGCATTTGCTTGATTATCTTAGTTTGTCTTATGCATAGTTCATCGCATACTGATATCACATTTACTCAATTAATTATGTCTGCCTGTCGCATAATTTACCACATAAGGTGATTACACTTGCACGATAATCTTCGCCCTTATGCAGCATGGTTTAACCCATTATTTGTTTGCACTATCAATTATATTCGGTTTTTTGTCAAATAGTTTATCGCATTGTTTTTTTGCACTTTATCGATTATCTTCGCACGTCTATCGCATATTTTATCATACAAATATTTCACACTTTATCAGTTAACTTCGTTTGTCTGTCGCATAGTTCATCGCATAACTTTATCGATTATCTTCGTTTGTCTATCACATATTTTATCACATAAATTTTTCACACTTTATATTATCTTTGTCTATATGTCGCATATAGTATCACATAATCTGTTTCACAATTATTTTTCACATGACTGTCGCGTAGCTTGTCGCACAAATATTTCTCATTATATCAATTATTTTCGTTTGTCAGTCGCATAGATTATCACATAAATATTTTGCACTTTATCAATCATCTTATTCTGTCTGTCGCATAAGTTTTTTCTTCATATTTTATCAATCATCTTCTTCTGTTTGTCGCATAAGTTTGTTCTTCACTTTATCAATCATCTTCTTCTGTTTGTCGCATAGTTTACCACATAAATTATTCTCAAAATTATATCCGATTGATTCTTACATAGTTTATTGCATAATTATTTCGCACTTTGTCAATTATCTTCACGTATATGTCGCATCATTTGTTACGCACTTTATCCATTATCATTGTCCGTCTGTCGTGTATTTACTGCATAAATATTTCGTATCATCCATTATCTTCGTATGTTTGTCGCCTAGTTTATCGCACAATTTGTTTCGCGCTGGTGAAAAAGATTAACTTATGTGAAGAACTTAGCTCATCAAAAGATAAAAAAGTTAACTTATTAACTAGTGATGTGAAAAAAAAAAAATAAAAAAAGTGGCAAAATTTATTCACAACGACAAAAATAGAACATGCTGTTAATCTGAATCTGACCCTCCTTCCGCACTCGCTGTAACACATGTAATTAATTTTTTTACATAGCTTTTGCAAGTTTGTGAGTGCCCAACACTTTTCACCTCCCCCAATAATTCTGTTCGTTTTTTACTTTACAAATTACCAAAATAATTGTGTGTGTTATGATATTCTTTTCACATCTGCCTCTGTCAGTCTGTCTGTCTTCCCCATTTCTTCTGTATAATAATAATAATAATAATAAGGTCTTCAATTATTCTGCAAAAGATGATAGAGTTTGAATACTTTTTTACACAACAGCAAAAGTGGTAATCTTCTTCTTGATTTTCACGGTAAACCATCTGTGCAGGGAGAAGGACAAAAACAGTGCACAATTCAAGGTCTCGTTAAAATCCAAATTTAAATCAAGATGATGCTGTTTGAGGACATGGGCATGGGCTTCTGTGGCGATCCCGACTTCTTCTCCTCCCCTTGCCCCATAAAGGTGCCCGAACCGTGCCCCGTCTTGCCA